TGGTCCCAACAAAAAAAAATGTTAAACATAAAATTTTGAATTTAAGTCTGTCAAATGTAAAAAAAATGTCTTTAAAAAGACCATCCTTAATTAAACTTGACTATATCAAATAATTATATGTGTGTGTGCTTAAATGTAAGAGATTTAAATTCAATTCACTTAAATTTTTTATGTTAAAACAATATATAAAAGAGATTTAAACCTGCAGATTAGATTTTTTTTCGGTCGGAATGATATGGTAGTTTATAGTCGGTAGGGCATTTTGGAGTCCCGAACCAAATTTCTTTTAACACACACACACATCATCAAATTACAAAGATAAACAGAAGGTAATTTAAACTAAAAATACAAAAATTATAAAATTTTAATGATTTTAAATCAAATTTAAATAATTCTAATAAAATATGCTAACCAATATGAATTTATGCCCTTCCTGTATAAGCAGGTAACGGTGCTCACTCCTTAAAATCTTGGTATCCGAGATCTCAAATTGGTAAGCAGAAAAGCAAGAACTGAATGGAATTTTAAATAATCAATCAACATATGAATTATGAATATATTATATATAAGTAAAATACAAAATATTGTTATTTTAAAGTTATTTTGTCTTCATTAAAATAAATAAATAATTATTACTCTGTTTCTTCAAATTCCATGTGATTTTTTTTTAAAATGACAATTAAAAATATTTGGGGCTAACGGAAGGCTTTGAAGTCAGAGAAGTTGAAACTAGGAATTTTCTATTTTATTTCAAACGTTAAGTAATGAAGCTGATTTGTTTAGTATTTGGGAAACAGGAGTTTATAAAAACATTTTTTCAGACAAAGACCTTACTTAGTTTGATTCAAATATATTTCTTCACTAATCTATCACTTTTAACTATATTTAAAGGAGTAAATAAATAAAATCATTTTTTATATGAACAGGGGGAAAAATAAAATCAAATTGCATCAAGCAATTGCAATTTACATTCAAGATCTTAAAAGGACAAACAAAGGCATACCATTTTGAATTTATTTTCTATTAAGTTTTTAAATAAAAATATTGTATGTGAGTGATTTCTTGTATACGTCATATAATGTAAAATCTTTCTGAGTAAGGGAAATAAAAGGAATGAAAGACAGAATAAGAAACATGAAAGGCAGGCCTTGATAATTAAAATAATGCGAAGTAAAAATAATTGGGGTGGGGGGGGGGGACCATAGAGCAGAGTGACAAATGTAGAGCCCAAAGCCTAATGCCAACAGGGTCCTATCAAACGGAGGAAACATGATTGCCCTCTCATCAAACCCCTCCCCCGAAAAAAAAAAAAATACAAAAGAAGAACAGAAAGTGTCTTCAGACACAAAGAACCATTACTCACAGCAAGAAATTATTTGTTTAAGAGTTAATTAATTAATTAATTAATGCCATATAAAAAGATGTTAAATAAAGAATGTTTAGTGGAAGCAGCTTGTGGTTGTACTTTATATAGATAGTTTAATTAAAGCCACTTGTTTATAGCAATGTCAATTAGGCCTGAAATTATTGTCCTTTTGTTATTCAACTCCATACAATCAATGTCTGTGTGAGTTTCTTGGCATCTTCTAAGTGATTTTCCTTTGCAACTTCATTTGTTCTTTCTCTCGTGTTTTGTGGTTTGTGCCACAGAAAAGTATGAGTGCAAGAGATGGATTGGTTAAGATACTACGTATCATCTTTGTGCATAAAATTTTTAGTCATTAGCCACTAAATGCTTGGTTTAGCTAGCAGGAGATGGTACCAATTTAACCAAAAATTTCGGTTTTGAGTCCACAAGTGGAACAATATGACAGAATTTGTGGTCCTCTTTAGTTCAATGTAGGTTAGCTTGGACCTTGATAAATCTTTTAGTTGAAGTGAGGTAGGTCTAAGATACTAAGTGCTCTAAGCTAAAAAAAATGATCATTAGCTAAACTAGTTTTTATATTATCAAGTGGTATGTGCATGATGGAGGAAATAGTTATAATTATTAAAAGTTAATCGTGGAAAGAAATATAAGTTAAGTAGTTAGCCCTAAAGTTTATTTTAAAAAATAGAGTAAACAATACAATCCTATGTAGACTGTTGGATGTCACGCAAAAAATTGATGAGAGAAAAGATGATACTTTGAAATGGCTAAATCAAAATTTCTTTTGCATCGTTGTCTTGTTATTTTGTCATAATCATAATCTTCACATTTGGTTTGCGATTGTATTTATTACAAAGAGAGCAATCAAAATTCATTAATATCAATACCACGAGAGTTGCAAAATAGATAGATCGATTGTGTCGCTAACAATTTTACTGGTCCTAATGGGAAGGCCTGATCGAAGTATTGCACTTGATTGAACACTCTCTCTCATCAATGTCATGATTGTAGACTTTGATTCCTTACGTTTTCAATATTTGCTTGCCTCATCCTTGTTACTGTAGAGTATTATGTAAAGGTTTACTCATTAAAAAAAGTATTAAATATGATGCATTTATTTGAAGTGTGTTTAATGTTGAACACAATTTAAATGAAATGTGATCAAATTTCTTGATCAATCCCAACCGTTGTTTTTTTTTTTTGTTTTTTTTGGTTTTTTAAGTATTTGTGTGCAACAGGATATCATTTCCGCTCATGGTAAGTGATAGGTTCTGATCCAATTCTAAGGAAGCCCACAAGCATAATTGGACATCAATGGAGAATGATGATCCATCAGCTTTTGAGGTAGTGTCAGTCAAGTATGTCAGTCCAAAAAAAAAACATTTATCCATAAGTAAATCTCATCAAGTGCATTTGAATTACCTTGGATAGCTAACAGGGATTGGGCCTAATGAAAGGGATTAGTCCTTCACATTTAATGTTTCACAATATCTTGAATATGACCTTTAATAGCAGGATACTTTTAGAGAGCAAAACAACATTGGATAAAATATGAATTTTTAATGGAAAAAATGAGAAACAATTGCATGAGAAACAAAAGAAGGAATCTTTCATCAATTACCACCTCTAGATGAACCCTCAATTTGGATGGAATTAAAAATAAAATGTTATTACTCCTTGTATTTGGGTGGACAAGAAAAAATAAAGAAAAGAAAACGAGCAAATATCACAATGACTATGATACTCTTATGTCAAAATATATTATGGTTCATGTAATTATCTTTATACCAATAAATTGAAACCAAAATTATATCAAAATTAATATCATCAAATTTATTAAAAATCAAATTAGTTGTTAAAAAATATATTTATGTTATTGTATTTAAAAATCAAATAATTTAGTAATAATAAGTTATTTTCACATTTAATTAGTCTCGACATCTCTCCCAACAAATAAATTAACTAGACTATGGGCATAATAATTGTTATTGGCTAATCCAGAGCAAATAAGTTATGTAGGAAAATGATCAACTTCATGTTGTATATTTAACATGGGAAAATGAAAATCAATTCCAGTATAATCTTGTATGGATTTCTCTCTGAAAAAGTAAGGCCCACATTATAATCTTATATTGATTTCTCTGAGGCAATATGCTGGAAAAAATGAAAATAAATATCAAAGTTGCATAGCGTGAAAGCAGAGAGTGAGGAGAAAGGATTTCGCTTTGCTCCGTTAACATAGCGCACCTTTGCAGCATTTTGAGAAGAATCTTGAACTGTTTGAATTTAATATTTTGATTTTAATTTTTGTATTTATTAAAATAAAAAATTTATAAAATTTTTAATAAATCTGATTACTAATATGAATAATTTAGGCTTAATATGAATAATCCATATTTATGATTTTTTCAATAAGTCTACTAAACAGTCTGGACAATTTAAGTTTAACATGGATGATCAAAATTTATAAAAAATATTGATAAATTTAATAATCAGGCTGGACAATTTATGTTAAATATGGATTGTTTGAATTTACAATTTTAAATTTTAATATCAAACTTACACTGTCCAAAGTATATCTAAATAATTAGTTTATAAAAATCATAAAAAAATTGAACATTAAATTTGTACCATTTATATCAAAACTGTTCAAATTGGCGTTCAAATTTATTACATTTTTTATTTTAATACATATAAAATCAAAATTAAAATTAAAATATTAAATCCAGACCATCAAATTTTATCTAGACGATCCAGATTTTTGCCAAAATAGAGCAGCCGTAGAGGTGTGTTATGTCAGCAGAGCAAAGCCAAGTCTAAGGAGGAGGGTAGGAGGCAGAATAAATATTTTACTCTTAAAATCTCTCCTTTGTTGAGAGAAAAATTAAGAGAAAAATATGATGAGTCTACACTTTATTTTTTCTTCCATTTTTCTTTACTCACTTTTTCTTCATCCAAACAAGCAAAAATTATTCTCTCCTTCCAAACAGAGCATTGTGTTGTTTTCGATCAAATTTACAAATATGATTTTAAGTAGAATTTGACTAAATCAAAACACATCATCTGCAATCAATAATCAATTCTCAACTCACTCGCTAAGATGTTTAAATAAAAACATGGAAATTTTCTTTTAAAAGACTGGTAGATTGTTTAATACACGCAACGCAACACAGGTGAAGAAATATTTTATAAATAAAACCAAGCAGTTTGCTTCTTTTAAGATTATAAATACTAGACTGCAAAAAAAATTATAACAAAATACTTAACTAATAGTCGACAATTTTTTGTTCAAGAATACAGATTCTAAGGACTTCGTTAGGTTTAAGAGCCAAATTGAAAGAATTTTCAGCTGATATATTCTTTTTAGAAAACCAGAAAACAAACCTTTAATATTGACCCAAGTCACTGACTATTGTCAAAGGACTCATTTAGCTTGAGGGGCTACAATACAAGGTTTTCATATTTTTGGCCCCCCAAAATGTTGGACTGAGCCTGAAAGATGGAATCAAGATTTGCACGAGAAAAATTAATTTCATATGCAACTCTTTTCTTTTTTTAAAAAAATGGACCTTAATATTGGTCACGATTTGCTCATATGCATACTGAGAGAGAAAAACAGCAAGACAAGGAATTGTAAGAACGGCAGATGATTTTACACCGAAACCCAACAGATCACATGAAACTCCATACACATGCACAGATCTCATGGATTCAAGCAAGATGCGAACAAAAAATCCCAGTTCTTCATGTATGATCATGGCAGGAGCAAAAATGGATGATTAAATACTGATTTAATTCACAATGCATCAGAGTAGAATCATCACCCAGCTCATCAATGCCGGAGATAACTCTTCCAAACCCAAGATTCCACTAATTTGATTCCAGCATAAAATCCTGTGTCAGTAGAACAAATGGATTATTACGGAAAGAACTCATCATTCATTCTCAACCAAACAAGAAAATTGAAGCATAACAAAGATATAAGAATAATAATGAAGATTGAAGATCATTAGACACGTAAAACATGCACTTATAACACAACTTTCAACCTCAGTCTCTGCCACTACACACCCATGCACAAAGACAATAAAAGATCAACTATGGTAATTTCTCAACCAAAATGCCAAAGGAGAGAGATATTCTAGCATGTTGCAAGCAAAGGTGCTTCACAATAGCTGTGCACCAATGAACACAGGCAGTCGGTCAGTCCAGCACTACATGGTGGGACCCAAATCAGAAGAGGTGACATAAGCTAAATATTTTGTGATTCCTTACAATGTCTATTTACATTTCTAAAGAAAGGGGAGGGAGAAAGAAAAAGGAACTCAAGAAGGAACAACAGCAACAAAGAACTGATCCATCATGGAACTAGCACAATAATTAAAAATTATTTTATCGTACCTAAATTCGTGTATAAAAATTAAAAAAGCATGAAACTGCCTGAAAAGTCGCACAAAAACTAATTTGATAATAATACATTCATACAAGGTCCAGATGAAAAGATAGATTGATAATCAAGAAAAACTTGTGCAAAAAATGTTACAACAAAATGGGCAAAGCTATTACTCTCAGAACATTTCCAATCCAACAAAAAACAGATCAAAAAATGGGAAATAAAGCATCATTTTCTTCTACTTACTCAGGCTATCAGGAGATTATAAGTTTGGCAAAGCTGAAGCAATGCTGCTTGATTTGCAGGATCGACATTTTCACTAATGACCATAGGAAACCTCCCAGGAGAAAGTGAAGAAAGTCGGGACAATGAAGAGACAAAAAATTCCCTCGGATCTTTTATATCTTTCAGTGGATCCTCTTCTTTCTTTCCAGCATTGTATAGACGAACAAATGTGGCAGTATAGCCCACATTTTCTGTAATATCTGGCATGTCAGCTTCATCCTCAACCCTATCCTCTTCTGGCCGTGAAAGAAGGGTGACAATGCTGTCAACCATCTTTCCCCACAATTCAGCAGCTGTGGCATCTAAGAAGATTGGAGATTCACATATAAGTCTAGTTGAAGCAACTGCAGCCAACTTGAGTTCAATAGCTCCAGTAATGAACTTTAGATTAGGAATCCAAAATTGATTTAGAATCACAGTAAATATAGCGGGCTGGACGCGATTCATAGTCTCAACAAGGTTAGAAGGACCATGCTTAATCAGAAAGAGTGACATGAATATTAAAAGATACTTGATAAGCTTTACTGTTCGCCTCTTTTGAAGCTCTCTGAAAATAGCAGCCCAAACGTGAGAAATATAAGGTTCAATGACAGCATACTCAAGACTCTCAATGACAGTATTAAGCACATAAAATCCTTGCTCAGTTGTGCTAGGAGATTGGATGAGTGAGTCAAATATGCCAAGCACCTTACTTAGTCTACCCTCTTGGCTGACCTCAAGTGGAGCCTTCTGAAGGAAGGCCTGGAGAAGACGCACAAGCGCAGGAACATTTGGAGCTCTTTTCCAAGAATCAGGTGACAAAAGGATCTCAAATATCTGCATGTAGATTGCTGGGACAGGTGGCCTGTTCAACTCCACAAGTTGAGCAAGCAATTGAAATGTGTATGGGAAAAATTCAGTAACATCATTGGTCAATATTATTTCAAGCCTAGGGAAGAGACTTGCTTCAAAAACTGATACAAGAGACAAATCCCTCTCACATGCCCTCTTTACAAGTATCGCCACAGACTCGAAGAGATAATGATTGAAGATGGGATTTTTTGGATTCCTGCAAACTTCACCAAGAATTGAGGCTAAACTCTCAATACAGATTCGAGCAACTTCGACAGATATATCAGCAACCCCAAGAACCCTCATGATACACTTCATTACATACTGATTTTCTTCAGACTCTGGGAGCTTCAGGGCGCTGAAAAGACTGTTCATCAGCACAGGGAAAACAGGATTGATGTCAGCTGATGTGTATCGGGCTCTACCACCCTCATCCTTTACCGATAAGAGTTTTTCAATACAACTTGCAGCATAAGAATGAACAACATTTGATTCTGCAGAAAGGAAGCGAACCAAATCTGGGAAAAACTTCAATGCTATGTGTTTTGATATATGACTCCGGAACATAGTAAAAAATTTGAGAGCACCCGCCTTAAGCATAGGATGCCCATTCACATCTGGACTCCGCAGCTCTGGGACAATTACAGATTCAAAAAAGCTCTGAACATCAACAAGTTCTGTTGAGACATAACTAGCTCCAGCCTTCTTGGTTGCCAGAGAAACTACCAAGAATATAGCACAATCTTTGTCCTTCCAATTTACCACTGGATTTACAGCAAAAGAACTTAATAAAGTTTGTATTTGCGCAGAAACAATGCTTCTGACAGTATCCCCATAATGTGTCGCAATACCTTTGAGTAGCTCACAGGCAATCCTCCTCCTAGTATCAAGATCACTACCTTCCATATCTCTCCTAATAAACTCAATATAATTCATCTCGAAGAGTTCCTCATCATCTTCCCTCAACCTTACATTCGGGATCACAATGCCCTGACAGATCTGTGGTATAACTCCTTCACCAGCAAACAAGGTGTGGTGCACACTTGTGCTAACAGTGGTCAAAAACTTGATTGCTGTGATAGCCAGCTGATCACGGCTAGAAGACTGGGATACATTTCCCAGTAAGGTCCACACAGCAAGTGCAAAATCATTCAGGTATCCTTGAAACTCCTCCTCGTTCTTTTCCATATAAAGATTAATATTCTCACAAACTGCAGCTCGAAGCTCATCTACAAGTGCAAAACCATCAGGACCACTATTCTCAAGTGCAGGATAGCTTGTAGTGAGGTATTTTCGAAATTCAGTCATCCACTCCTTCATGTGATCCTCAAAAAACTCAGGCAGCTCCTGAAAATTTAATGAATAGAATATGCTACAACACAACCTCTGCGACTCAAAAAGAGGACGAAGATTTGTAGCAAGCCCTCCGGAGTTCGCAGCCGCATCAATCAACGAAGCCGTTTTGAGAAATATTTCCAGCAGAGGTGCCGCAAAAAGATCAAGACAATACTTCAAATCAAGCAAAAGATCGTTGGTTTTATACTGGTACCGAAACTTGTTAAAAATAGAATTGGCAGTGCCAAGAACACCATTAACAGAGGCATAATCAGAGGCTTGCGATGCTTTCTGAAGATTCATGATGAGCTCAGGAAGCAACGCAGGCCACGATTTAGGAAAATCATGCTTACCAATTACAGCCAAAGCTTCGCTAAGTTGACTTTGAATCTTAGGAGTGGCAGAAAGCATCAGCGGCACTATCAATGATTTAATCTGTTCCTTCTCCGGGTCAAGTATGGGGGAGAAAGCGGGCACATTGGCGTCATCCGAAGCAGCCGGCACCCATCGGACACGGAGGTGGTTCTTAAAGTTGACGGCGGCAGCTTGACGGATCTGATCATCGACGGAAGGCTCGGCGACGAGGCGGAGCACGACAAGGCCGTAGTTTGGACGGTCGGCAGCGTCGGCGAGGGAGGCTTCAGCCCGGCGGCGAGGCTCCGGCGAGGGAGAGAGGGAGTGGAGGAAGCATTCGGAGAGAAATTGGAGGGTTTGAGGATTCCACTCCATGATTGAGGGAATGAGAATGAGAATACGTTTGGGGAAGGGTTTATTTGAGGGCGGGTTTTGCAGTGAATTCGAACACCTAGGAAGGAAGAAAGAAGCATAGGGCTTGTTTCGAAATAATAACTTTAAAAAGACTTGTCTGGAAGGATGGATGGCATGTCACTTCTAATGATCATTTGATTGATAAATATGATTTTGTTTACTCCTATTTCAATGCCCAAGTTTAACGTTACAATGCACTGGTTTACTCTACATGTTAATTTAAATTAAATAATTTTAAAAGGTATAATCATAAATAGCTTAGTTTTCCTCAATGACAAAAAGAGTGATCCCCATTCATTGTTAATTAATAAGACTCGTAAAACAAAACTCAAAATAAACCAAGTATTAATTCTTACATATATTTTCATATTTTTCATTTTTTATATGATCATTTGGTTGTGTCAAATTTCAACATTGCAAGATCTAATTTTTAAATGAGCTAAGAGTCAATTTTATTCTAAACTCAATTTAAAATTAATTTTATTTTTTAACCTTATTAAAATTTAATAATTATGTCCTTGACATCAAATTGTACAATATGTTTTTTTACGTGAGCCTCATATTAAATTTTTTAATATTTTTTATAAAATATTATTTATTAGGTTTCATTATTTTTTATATTTTTTATCACATGAAAGCGTCTCTCTCCTCCATTCATCTCCCTCTTCATCAGTCTCTCATTCATCTCACTCTCTATCCTTCTCATTGAACTTGTGGCTTGCTGGTAGGAGCATGTTGGCTTTACTTTGCTGCAAGTCATGAGTTTGATTCTACAAGAGAGAGAAGTGAATCACTCTCTCCTTCTAGTTCATCTACCCTGGCTTAATCAAGCAAGAGAGATGATAGCAAGAGAGAGAAGCGTGAAGTTGAGAGAGAGTACGTTGACGACGATGTTCAGCTGGTTGAGGAACCTGATAGAGAGAGACCATGGCAGAAGAAAGAATAGATAAAGATGAGGAGGGTGACATATATCAGAGCCACCATGAACTCGTCGTGGGCTCCATACATAGCACTGTTGAGCGGCTTCTTCATGCTATACATGCTAACTTGTAGATGCCGCTTCATCCTGAGTAAATTGTAGATCGAGGGAATGGTGTTATCATCGTGCAGGTTTCGCCATGGATGCTTGACCTTGCTAATCAAATGCTCCCTCTCTGCTCTCCCTCTCCCTCTCCCCCCCCCCTCCCTCTCCCTGCAACCATGTCTCCTCTTTATCATCTTCTTCTCATCTGTCTCTCACCGTCCTCCTCCTCTTCTTTGCATCTCTATTAACCAGGCTCTGTTGCACAATCACAGAACAGAGCAAGGTTGCGTTTATTTCACACCGGGAGCTGGGCACATAAACACATGTATATGTGCTTGCTACACACACACACACACACAACACATGTTTAATTGATTAAGTGCATGTATAAGAATTCACATTTTTCTTCAAAGTCTCAAAACATTAGCTCAGAGATTCCAAAAATTTAACGAGTAAATGAGAATGAATGCTCGCAGGACGAGTAGTGATAAATATAATGAAGATTAGAAGAAGAGGAACTAGGTATCAAAACTGGATGTTTCTATATATAAAACTGAAATTGCTTCAAGAGAGATATATGGGCAAAGGGCTATTGGGGAAGGGGACAAGAAAGAGTATAGAGAGAAGTATATACTAATGACCTGGTGCATGAAAGAAGGAAAACCAACGAGCTAAGAAGAGAGAGAGGAGAGACAAGGAGAAATTAAAAAAAAAAAAAAAAACATGAGACCCACATAACAGTCTGTTAATGCTGGGGTAACGAAATAATAATTTTTTAAAATTGCAAGATATAAATGACTCATAATTAAATTTATGATCATTTGTAATTTTTTAACCTTTAACCCTTCTGAAATTCAATATATTGTGTTTATACAATTATATCCCCTTCTACTAGATACTGAAATATTTCTCATACTTATTAACAAACAAATTATGGCCCTTGCATCTCATGCAACTGATTAACAATTACACAGAAAAAATATGTAGGATTTTGTGGCATTGAAAAAGATTTAAGCTTCTATTATTAATAATTAATATTTCAAACTTATTGAGGAAAAATTTATAACAAATTGTTTGTTTCTAAATAAGTTTACAACATTAAAACTGTGCAAAAAGGCACAACCAGAGGAAACCCATGACGCCATGACAATAGCTTGCTCAGGATCACTCCATGGCTTCCACTCATTGAATGTGATCCTTGCATGATAATAGTCTCAAATAAATTCTCGCCCCTCAGCTTTACACCATGAAAAAGAAGAACAAAAAAGATGTTACAGAGGCACATCAAGACCACGGCTATGCCGATCACGGCCGTTTACTTCCATGTATCCGGGATACAAGCTTCTTCTCCGGCTTCTATGGTTTTTCATCCTCATTCCTCTTCTCTTGTGACCTGAATAAACCAGAAAAATGACCACAGAGAAGCCCAAGCCAGAAAATGCCCATAATACTATCACCCAGAACTTGAAAGAACTAAGCATCCCATCTTTCTCAGAATTTGCCGATAAACGATTGTTTCTTGAGGCAAAAGTTTCATTAAAGTCGCCAAGTTTCCTTGAAATTCCTGTTTCACTGGTAGTGTTGCCTTCCGAACTGGATAAGGAACTGTCAGTGGGGCAGTTCCTTCTCTCATGATGCAGGCGCAGAGCTTCATTTAGTGTTCTTACACATTCTATGCTAAGCAGGTCTCGTTCCCGAGCATCCACATCAGCGTCGTCCAGTGTTGACGGATCTGGTGGGTTCGGGAACTCGGCCCAGCATCTGTTAACCATGTCAACTTCCCTCCAGTCAGCCTTGTCAAAGCTCCAATTCCCGACTCTGAAGAGTAATCCATAATGAAAAACTCTATATTTGACACCAGGTTCAGGAACATATCCCGGGTATATTAGTATATCTTTTTCAATGCGATGCCTTAAATTCAGCTGCATGGACAGAATTTTTAGTTACAGCTATGACACATGTTCATACTTTAAAGAGAAAATAAAAATATAAATGCACCTATTGGGATAACTTAAATGCTTCAAAAATAGCATATTACCTCTGCTGCACCAAATGAGTAACCGTACATCTCACTGATCCACCCGGATTCATATACATCTCCTGTTATATTTCTTGCATAATGAGCCCTATCAGCCCGGACCTCCTCTGTTTTATGAAGCCATTGTATAGCAAATTTTCGTAGATCATCCATGTGCATAATGATTACTCCACCAACCTTGTCACAAGCCTCAGGATGGCTTGTATGAAGTTTTGCAAGCTCATTATCGCAACCAATAAGATAGCTGCACAGAGAAAAGGGGATCAAAACAGGAAAAAGCCATAGAGACTTGTGCATGCGCACCACAGCTACTTATAATGCCTACACATCAGCAGCAACATTTATAGACCACAACCATGAATCAAATTCAATGGTCTTACTCATATGGAGTAGAAACCGGCCGGCCACGGGCAGCTTTGAACTCCCATGGTGTGATTGGACCTCTCAAGATCATATCAGCATCAAGAATAACTATGAATTCTGCATCAATGTTTGCATGGTTGAGCCAGTGAAGCACTCCAGCAGGCTTATTAATTGCTGGATACCTAAAATGAAACAGAAATTTTCAACACTTGCCATGCTCTAACTCTAAATTCTTCAGAAAAAATAGAAAAACTATGAACAAGCGACCCCTCAAGAACTTCACACCACATGAAGTAACGGTATGGTATATCCCTATTCTGCACATATGCTCAAGCAAGCAACACCCACCACAAGACATCATATGAGCAATTCTACAGTGCTACATAGATAATCAAAATTTGTTTGAAATGAAACGTGATCACCGCCAAACTGCCAAATACAATGAATAATTGAACATCAATATCTGTCTCTTCAGGACATCAAAATCATGCGCGAGAGTTAAATAGTCAAATCAAACAGCTCAGGAGGTTGGAGACAAATCTGACAGGACATATCTAGAACTAAAAGCTGAAGATACTAGAGCGTATGAAGCACTAATGGTCTTATTTTCAAAGTCACAAATCACATCTTGCAGCAATGATAATCAGAGAAAAATCAATTGGCCAGAAAGAATCTAACTATGGTAAATAACTAGTTTAACCAGGATGAATGTAGTTTCAGCGACAATGAAAAAGAATATTAAGGAGACCAGCTTGTTCAGATTTTGGTGAGATAACAAAACGCAACTAACTGAGAAGGCTAATGCCCAACATAACACGATTGAAATAAACAAAATTACCAATCGCCTGTTAATGGATGTCGACTCATTGATGGAACATAATGGGTAGGTGCCAAGTCATGGCCCTTGTATTGCTTCAAGTCCTCCTCATTACAGCTGAGAAGTCTAGTGATGTTTCCAGGCTGCCCACTTGTACGGAAACTGTGCATAAGCCCTACAGTCTGCCAATCAAAGTATGGTGTACATTCTGTGGAAAAAACAGTATGGATTTTAGGATATGGCTTTCCAGCATCATCATCATCATCATGTTCCTGAACAGTGTCCTTATCGTCCATCATTTCTAGAGTAGCAGGATTAACATATTTAGGCTTAGTTAGCTCAGCAAAGGTTTTGCTTTTCAAGAAACTCAAGTATTTAGACCATGCTGGTTTAGGGCAACCCTTCGCCGCATGCTGCAATAAAAGACCTTCATTTAAAGTGTTCATGCACTCTACACTGAGAAACAGCCCACGCTTTTGATTAGGGTCAATTTGCATCATCCTTACCTGCAACATGAAATTTTCAATTTCAGCCCCTGGTTAAAAAAATAAATAAAAAGATGACAAAGAAGAAAGACAACTGATCCATCATGTCCTGTGCATAAATTCAAAATATTGGGATTGAAAGTTGAGCTTAAGGGACCAGTTGGAGTCCACAAAAAATGATATCAAGCTTAAAATAATGAATAATGCATGCTTGCTTCACAACAACACAGGAATTCAGTCCCTAGAAAACAGGCATAATTGCGATTGAAAAAAGACCACCCTAGTTTACTCCAACCAGCTGACATACCTCCCTAGGATAAGGAGGTTCTGGAAAGAGCCGATTACAATCATAAACAATATC